CCTTTAGAGAAAATAAAATGAAATTAATTACGCACCAAAAAACTCTAATCAAAGTAGAAGTTATAAATATTTCGGTACTTACGCGAATGTTCGGAATCTCCAGACGGCCGTCCCCGTTATCACGCGAGCCGATTGGAAGCGGCCGACCACCAGGGCGGGTCCACTTGACACGAGCGCGCACTGGACCTTCGTCACGACAACGGAAGATGACTTCACGACCTAAACGAAGCGCGTAAATGAGAGAGATATTAGAAAACTAGACTTGCTACACGAAGGCGAGAAGGTGTTTGGCATTCGGTGCGATTGTGTTGATTTCATATATTTTTGATATCATACAAAGTGGGAGTATATTTTTTGGGTGTAACGATTATTAAGTTCAGGAATAGCGTTGCATTTTTGGGGTAGGCGATTAAAGATATCTCATATATGTACATATATGAAGTATATGGGTGTATAAAATTGTATTTACAAATCGAATAAAAGAGTGCATTTGCATTCCATTGCGGTTGCTTTTTCGTGCGATGGGCACTCGGAGAGAGGAACTCATACAAAATGAGTATTTGAAAGAAATAAATAACCGACTTACCCTCCTTAATATATCCTGTGTAGATTTGTTTTTATATATATTTTTTTTAATTAAGCACGAATTAGGGGAATAGAAGCGGAATATAGCATAAAAAAATCAAAGTTATTTCAAAGCTAAATGAACGCAGTATACAGTAAAGTGGAAGGTGTCGTTACCGGGAAGGTTTCCAGCATCGAACTTTCGCCTGTAGTTGGGGAACCTTCCCGCCAGCTACACTTCGATTTTTGAAGAAATTTCTTATGAGCAGTAAATGTTGAAAAAGTAGTCATTTTGCAGAAACGGCAGTTAGGGTACTTACTTTCTTTGATGATTTGGCTGTCAGGATAGGTCTTCAGGTTCAGTTGTGGGTTTGATGATGTGTCAGGAACTCCTGTGAGAAATGAGTTAAAATTAATTATAAAAGATGTTTAGGCATTTCGAAAATTTTTTAGGGAAAGTATGTTTCTCAAGAGTGAGACAGTTAGACAGGGAGTGAGTGCCGGGGGAGTGAGGGAATAGGACGGTTAAATAACGAGTGAGTAGGTGAATAAGAGAAGCAATCAGGAGGTGAACGATTGAGGAGTAAGATAATGAGCATGTGAGTGAGTAGAAGGGGAAGTGAGTGACTAAAATTGAGTGACATAGTAAAGAAATGAGCGAGTAAGTAGGTGAGGGTGTAGGGATGAAGGTTTGAATGAGTAAAAAACTGAGTAGTAGTGTGAGTGAGGAAGGATTGTGGAAGCTTGATTGTGAGTACAAGAGGAGGCGAGTGGCTAAAATGGAGTCTTAGAGTAAGGCAAAGGGTCTCGTGCATAATAAGTGAGCTTAACCTCAGACCTAATTTTCGCACTAGCACAAGCATTTGTACTGAAAATCGAGTCAGAGCTTAAGCTCACTTTATATACGTGAGGCCTAATGAGTGAGTAAATAGTGTGAGCATTTAACTAGATGTTGATTGAGTAGTAGAATGAGTGTGGGAGTGATTCGAGTGATATTGCAGAGTTCTTTTTAATTTTTTTCTTAATCTGGTTTTCGGAGTGGGTTTATTTCCAGTGCTGGCGGTCACCAGAGCAGAGCGCGACCTATTGGCTATTAGTCTTAGAGTTGAAAATTCAACCCCCACCATTCCAATTCAAATCTTTCCTTTGTGATACATTTTTCTACTGCCACCTGCTTCTCGTGCGTTTGTTAGTCTTTTTCTACTAAACTTACTCAAACGAAACTTACGCTCAATCTCATTGGAGGTCGGACTGCAGTCCAACTCATCGCTAATATCGAGCGGACAATCGACAACACCGTTACAACGCAAGGCATTGCGTATGCAGGGACCGTTCTCACAACGGAACATTAGCGGGCCGCAAGCTTTACTGGTTCCTTCAAATTCGAGTTGAGGTTCGCGTAGATATTCTAAGAGTCGAATATGCGATTTTCGAAAGTGTATGAGTGAGTGTATGTGTATGAAGGCATGACGATGGAAGAGCAAATAGTTTTGTTTTGCAAGTTGAGATGAAAATGTAGTGTAAAAAGCTTTGATTTTTAATTTTTATACTCACTGCACGAAAGTTCATCTGAGCTGTCTGCACAATCGGTATAGCCATCACAACGCGCCGCCGCATTGATACACTGTCCGTTGTTGCAACGGAACTGCGAAACCGAGCAAGTGCGTCCCACGTCGTAGTTGGGTTCCGAGCAGTCTTCTTCGTCCGAGCCGTCACGGCAGTCACGGTAACCATTGCAATGAGCGCTGCCAGAGACACAATCGCCATTGCGGCAGCGGAACTGATTGGCAGCACAGCCTTTTCGGATGCAAAGTGAATGGAAAAAAGTGAAAAAGAAATTATTTTGAGTTTAAATGGTGGTGGGAAGCACAATTGCTGGATGGGTAGGGATAACACGTTGGTAAGAGTAGACTTAAAAAACAAATTGCTAAATACATATGCACATACATATAGGCAAAGGGGACAATAAAAAAGCGTGCGCTGGGGTAAGGTGCTGAGAGGAGGTAAAGTAATAAGGTTTTTTGTTGGGTTGAAACAAAAATTGGAGTTTGCATGCGCCTAAAAATAGGGTTTTTTTCTAAACTTAACAGTTTAAAATTAAAAAGTATATAGCTTAAAGGTAAGGTAGAATCTTATGAAATTAAAAATAACCTTAAAAAATATTTCTTAAATCATATAGACTAAGAATGTAACAAAAACAATCATCAACGACGAGAATATCAAAAAGACTAGCTATGAAAATTTCAACAAAATTATAGTCAAAAGTAATGCTTTGTATTAACCAATGCAATTTTGCTCATCTGAGAAATCTTTGCAATCGTAGTATCCATCGCAATGCTGCGTCTCATTAATGCAGTACTGACGATCAAAGCAGAGAAACTCATTTTCCTTGCAGGTGGTGCCTTACAGAGGATTAAAGTAATTTTTGAATTGCATAAGAAAAGTTGCAAAAAAATTTCTAATGTTGCAGAAAGAAGCATAAATTAATGAAATGCGCTATGAAAAGTGTAAACGAACGTGAGCAGCAAAAAATTTAGAAAGGTTTATGAGTTGAAATTCAATTTTTTTTTATTTGAATTTTTCATATCTTGAATTTTAATTAAACATTTTCTTACTAAATACTTGTGCTGCTACTGGTTTAGTATTTTTTTATTACGGGTTTTCCCATTACAAAATTACTATTAACTATTTTTTTAATTTTCACTCTTAAATCTTTCTTAATTTTGAACCGATTAGGTAGCTAGATTCAATAGACATAACAATTTTTTTTTTTTAACAATATGTAGGTGATAGAGCTTATTTATCACAATGTGCTTGTAAAATAATGAAAAAGCCTTCTTATATAAAATACATACATAAAAATGTAGAAATGAAATAAAATGATGTGCTTATAAATACATAAATGCATATAATTTAAGTGCTGCGAGGTGAAATTTGGAATTTGGTAATGCAAATGAAGTCGGTTAAACGCATTTGTACACTGAAGAAAAATGCTTGTCTGTTGTGGCGCTGTGTTTATATCTTCGTTCGAGACTATTTGTATTGACCCTATTTCTGATCAAGTTGAGACTATTGTTTAGAACTACTGATGTTGACCGAGTCGAGCTTAACTCAACTTGTTTTGACCTGATTCAAAATAACCTAACCTGAAAACCTCCTAATTTTATCTAAACTAACCTAAAAATAATTCAAACCGTTTAAAGTAGTCTCTGAAGTTAATTGACGTAATGAAAAATGTTCTAAAGCTGTTTTTAGTAAATCGTATCGGAACTCCTGCGAATTCTGTACTGATTTAAAATTTTTCCGAATTAAATATTTATCTTCGAGGTTAAGTATTTCAAAATTAATTTCAAAGCCTTATTTGCTACAAGCCTCTAATGTTATCTAAATAGTCATTCCTAAAGTATAATTCAGCTGCATTATTTTTTAAATTCTTGTCGATAAACATAATTATCGATTTTTACTAACAAATTCACCGATACAAATGATGGTTAAATTTATCGCATATATAGTAAATATTCGCATCCGGATTTGTACTCTTGATGGTATTTATCTGTGGAATTTTATTAAAAAACTTAAGTGACGTTAAACGGCTTGACTTTGAATTGAAAAATAAATAGTTTCCCTTGAAAACTAACATCTCAAACTAAGTCTATGGCTAGTTAATCGTTAAAATATTGTTTGTGAACCCAATGAAATAGTCTATCTTGAGATAATTTGTTTTAATAATTTTGGGTATTATTTATTCGGCTTTTCTTAATTTTCGGATATCAGAATATTTCCCAAATCCCTTTTCAAACTCTTTTCCACTGAACCTTGCCTAAGTCCCCTTGCTATTTTCTTTCGACTTCATTTGCATACTTGTTTTTTTGCTGAACACCAACCAATATAAGTAATACGATTCCAATTTAAGTGCTTTCTTCATCTCGTAAATATCAAAGAAAAACTATTTTAAATTTGGTGCATACGATAGCTCTAAACGTAGCTTAAGAATCTCCTCACGGACTCAAGTCCCCTTAAAAACACATACGCGCTCGGGAACAGCGTCCACTTACAATTTGCCTCATCAGCGCCATCGTCGCAGTCGCGCGAACCATCGCAACGTTCGCTCTCCGAGTAGCATTTGCCATTCGGGCAGGTATGTATGGGGCATGGGTAGATGGGCACCGGTCGTCGTGTTGGCGGATAGGACAAACAGTTTATCTCATCGCTGCCGTCGGTACAATCGCTATAACCGTTACAACGTATCGATCCGTGCCGACACTCATCGTCGCAGAAGAATTGATCCGACGAACAGTCTTCGGGTGAGTGACGAATGGCTTCTACCGGTATGAAGTGATGATCAAAAGCGCAGCCAGTGGTGGAAATTATGGTAAAACACGATTGAGAACATGATGAAGCGATGCAAGCAAGCAGAAGGAGGAGGAGGAGAGAGAGCGAGCGATCGCAAGAGAATCGGAAAGAAATAAATGCAAAATGTCTTGGATTAGTAGTTAATATCGGCTGAATGAAATGAGCTGCAAGTGAAACAGTTTTGATTAATGATTGCAGGTGGCAACACTGGTAACATAATATACATAGATATCTACATAAACACATACAAAATATACTTTATATTAGATGGGCTTCAAAGTTACAAAAATAATTAATTTTAGTAGAAAAACGTAATAGTTTTTGCGGACAGCTGACATGGAGAGCGACTAATTTAAGTAAGGAAGTTTTTCCAAAGTATTTTATCGGCCAAAATTTTCCTCGAGCAATTTCGTCAATAAAAAAGTTGTATTTATTTTTCTACTTTTTGTTACCCTCTTTTCGGCACTGTCTGCGCGTCTCATCTGATCCGTCGGTGCAATCGTCGTGCCCGTCGCAGAGATAATCTTTGTTAATGCACTGAGCGTTGTCGCATTGCCACTGGTAGGAGAGGCAAGTCCTATTCGATATGGGCAATGTTATTTCGTTCTCATGTACTGTACATTGTGCATATGTTTGTTGTTGTGTTGTTATATTGAATGTTGTTGGTGATTGCGTTTGATGAGTTTTGTTAGCAGTTTTTTTTTTTTTTTGTACAAAGACCATATTTCCACACAGATAACACAGAGATAAATGCGAAACAAAACAAATAAATTTTTAAAATGGCCACAGGTGATTACGTGATGTGCGTTGGTTTATATGAAATTGAACAAACAAAAGAACAAATAAACAAAGTATTTAAAAAACATGTATGCACATAAATACTAAACATAAATGAAATGAAAAAGTTTAAATGAACGGCAGAAAATGACATGTTAATGGAAGAAATGGAGGAGAGAGAGAGAGAGAGGAAGGATCGACGTGGTAGGTATAGCTCAGGGCACTTTTTTTCGGAAGCTCTGAAGTTGGTTTGCGGAAGCTTTTTCACAACTTTTATTATCCTTCGTGGGCTTTTACGCTTTTTTCAAACTGACTATAGAAAAGCGTAATTAATGCAAATGTAGTGGCTGAGGAGAGTTATAAAATTGCAATTAAAATCTTCAGATAACAAGGAAGATTTTAGCTATTGAATTTACTGCCAAGTTCGCGAGAAGAAGCTTTCTTCTTGGCGAGAGCAAGTTAGTTAGCAACTAAAGCTTTTTCAAGCTTGCTTTAGAATTTAAATGCGGTACAAAAGCTCCGTCCTGTCGTCATTGATGTGCATTTATTTATGCAGCTCAAAAAAACTTCGTGACTATAAAGTGGCCAGCTCTCATTTACGAAAGCTCTTTAGGATATGAGTTCCTAAAGCCCTGAAAAGCTGTTTAAAATATTCGAACTTTTGTTCTGTTTTGTTTTTGCAAATGCTGGACTTTTTTATTATTAAAGCTGCGTTGACAGCTAATTCTATTTGGAAACTCTATCTGAAAGCTCGAAACACAAGCTTATCCGAAATTTAATCAAATCTCTTGTAAATAACTCAGGTAGACTTAGGTATAATTTCATTGCAAATTAATTTTTTATTTAAAAAAAAGCTTTAATAAATGTCTAACATTTGCCCATGAACTTATCGTTGGAGAATTTAAAGCCTCAAGTAGCTTCAGATAAGTTATGTTCGAAACTTTGCCGGAAGGCAAAGCTTTTAGAAGCTTTCCAAAGATCTTATATGGATCTATGGATCCTCTAGCTAGCCGCCACCATTTTTGAAAAAGAAAATTTTGGTTGATCGAAAAATAATGATTATGAGATTTTTAAAACTGTACAATATTTATTTAAGAATACCCGTGAAAGCCAAGGTTTTAAAAAGATTTTTAGCTGAAAGTCAAAATATAGTTTTTTGTTCTGAAGAAATTTGGAAGCCCTTTGGGTGGCAAGTGTTTTTAGGAGATTTTAAAAGCTCACGAGAAACAATCAATGTAGTGGGCAAAATGAAAAATTTCAAATTTATTTGGAAGAATACGGGAATTAGGTTCCACTTCGGTTAGGGGGGAGGGGGTGGCGAAATTGGGGGCAAATATAATAGCCATATCAAAAAAAAGACAATTAATTAGGTAATTTCGCAAAAGTTCTAAAGAATTAGTAGAGCTTTGGAAGCTTAGGTGCATAGCAATTTTGACCATTAAATTTTTTCGAGATAGTCACTTTTAAAGCCACTTCTTTACCATCGCAATCGCGTTCGTCGAACTCGTCGTCGCAGTCGACTTTGCCGTCACATTGCAGACTCCAGTCGACGCAGGTGCCGTTGCAGCGGAATTGCAGTGGCGGGCAGTCGATCCTCGTTGGTTTTGTTGGCGCCGGCGCTGGCGGTCGTGGTGGTGGTCGCGCATTGCCCGGTCGTGCTGTTCCATGGCGGTATTATCAACAAATATTTCAACAATTTTACAGATGAATTGGTAGTGGTGGTTGTTATTCGATGTGTGTGCGTTGCGTTTGCATAAATCGAATGAAATTGTTTTACGAGTACAAGAAAAATTGTTGTGCAATAATTGATTTGTAAAATAAGAAACGGAGAGGAAAATATTGAGACTAAAACCTACTACGTACGTATAACTAAATTAATTGACAAGCTAATGGATATAGCGAAATGGATGCCCATTAAAATTGCAGGAATCGCATGCAAAGCAAAAACTTGTGTGGACAAGCAAGCGGAAAGAAGAGGCGGGGAGTGATTCGCTTATAGAATTTGTATACATTCTTTTGTAAGAAATTCAAACTGTACTACTGCCAAGAAGAAACGCCGGAAATAGTTTTTGCAAAAGCTACACTTAAAAAGCTTGTTTTTTTTTGTCGCTGTACCAAAATACCGAGTGGGGTTTTCTGACCCAGCCTGAACCTGGTGGCGAGGAGTCACTCACGCTGAACACTTACCGCAGTTTAACTCATCGCTGGCATCGACGCAATCGGCCTGGCCATTGCATCGCAGTTTAGGCAAAATGCATTCGCCAGTGTTGCAGCTGCACGACAGTTACAAAAGTAACATTTTTTTGTTGTCACAATTGGCATGTAGGCGTGTATGTAATTGTGTTGATGAGATGGTTTTCAAGTTGTGTGGTGAATGTGTTGATGTGATGTGATGTATTTTTTTCGTAAGAGTTATGGTATGTGGTGTTGTGACGGTGATGTGGCGCGTTTAAAAGACGTTGAGATGTTGAAACATTTAAAATTGTTTACGAAACTTATTTTTTTCGGGAGCTGGCATGCAATATTTCATGGATTTACTGAGTTAGCTAAGATTTTTTCAACGAATTTTGGTGAAAGCTTATGTGAAAGCTTGTCGTAATGGTGAAAGCTCGCGATTAAGTCAACTTAAAAGGTTATATGGGGACTTTATGTATGATTTTGAGTGAAGGCACTTGCGAAAGCTTATGTTAAGTGCGAAAGTTTTTCTTTTTGTCTGAATCAGACTACATGCCGTTCATTGTACAGTGTGTGAAAGTACACGAGTAAATAAATGTAGATTAGCTTTTAAAGGGAATCGGTAAAGCTTATACAACCTTAATTTACGAAATCTATAAAGGTAGCTATGAGGTTTCCTATTTCAATTGGAGCTTTTTATAATCCGAAATTTTTTACAACTTTCTTCTACTATTTATTGCATTTTTTTGATTTTGTGGAAGCTTAAAATATATGTAAGAAAAACATTCTCGGATGCTTTAATTTTTATGGTTATAAAGTGTAACTAGAGACTGGACTGCATATTTTAAATATTTTGGTGAAAGCTCTGATAAATATAGAGGTTAACGATTTTCAAGCTCTTGAAAGATTTAAGTGCTTTTAAGTAGAAGACAGTCATTATGCGAAAACTGCCTATGTATTTTTCAGCGTTATCCATGAAACATTGCAGCGCATTAATTAAAATCAAACGCTTACAGAAAAGCATTATCGCGACAGTGAGTGCAATTTTGCTCGTCGGTTCCATCATTGCAATTGGCAACACCGTTACATTGTTGATCGCGGAGTATGCAATAATTCTGATCGCATTCGAATTCGTTGTCATGGCAATGCTCTGTGAAGGTATGAATGAATGCAATTTTGTTAAGAATGAAAGTGAAAAAAATAATAAAACTAAAATAAAAATTATAACTATGGGTCTGTTAATAAAAAAATGCATGCATTTTGGGAGGATGGGAACTTTAAAAATTTTTGCACTCAAATTCATAAAAAATTAAGAAGACTTAAAATGCGTTATAAATTGACAACTTTTATGAAAATGTCACTTGATAAAGTTTTTAAAATCTACTTAACTTTTTATGAATAAGGCCATTCTACTTTTTATGAATTTTATGTGAATATTTACAAAAAAACTTAACTTGATCAAAAAAGAAAAAAAATAGTACGAATTTTATGAGTTTAAAGTTGAAGTTGAATTCGAAATTTGGGTTTTAGTGGATTAAATTATGTACTTTTTTGAAACGATTTTTTTGAGTGGCGTAAATAATACCCACTAAAGCCAATGATTGTCACTCGAGTCGGGTAAAAGTTGTTGTTATTTTGAATTCAAACTAATTAGAGTCAAACACTAGACATTGAAATTTTTCAATATTTTTTCCTTCTCTTTTTGGTGAGTAGTTAAATGTGCTCATTGTTTTCACAGTGCATGGTAGTCGAAATTCTCCAGCTTGTGTAGACCTATGGAGCTTTACCTGTAAACGGCGGGCAATCGTATTCATCAGTCTCATCATTGCAATCCGGATAACCGTCGCAGCGCTTATCGATCGGTATGCACTGCGAGTAGTCGCATTCGAATTCATAAATATCGCATTCACTGAGCGCTGGATCCGGTTCGAAATCTGACGCGCGGCAAAACAAAACCGAGAGCGAGTCGCAGAATAATGTTGTGGTGTGTTTCATGTGTGACGGTGTGCGAGTGTGATAATTGATATGAAAAAAGATATGTATGCGAAGAGATAAAAAAATTACTGAAAACATGCTTTTCTTAGTTTTTTTTTTGTTTAAGAAAGAAAGGAAGCGAAAACACTTCCGATCAGTTTAGCGTTGGGCTCGGGGCTTTGGTGCATTGTGGCCTTAATTAAACCACTTTCAGAAAAGAACCAATCATTTGTGCTGTTGGGTCTAATGCCTGATTTTTGCATAAAATGCTGGGTTAAGCGTTAATTTTTCTTTTTACAAAAATTGGTATAATTTTTTTTTTTCGGTTAGGGTTCAATTTTGTAGTTAGAAAATTTGGAAAAGTCAGATTATACCGTAATTTGCATCATCGTAATTCAACGGGCAATTTATTTCATCGGAACCATCAACGCAATCGGTAATGCCGTTACAACGCTTGTAGCCCGAAATGCAGATATCATCGGCGCATTGATATTGAAAGCTTAGGCATTCATTGGCAATGCGCGTCTTATTATACTTAGCATGAAAATCTATAATAAATGAATGAGTAAAACAAAATGAGTAGTGAAATGGAAAAAGAGTGAAAAGATGTTAATGAGTTATGGTGACATGAAGGATAACAACAACACATATGAAAGTGAAACAATAAAGAGCGAGCCAGTGAGCATACGAGTGAGTAAGTGAATGAGTGAGCGAGTCAAGCAGCGGAGGAGTGAGTGTATGAGCGAGTGCGGGCATAAATTAGTGAGTATGCGAGCAAGTGATTGAACTTAGTGGCAGTACGAATAGCTGTGGTGTGAAAGTGAGCAAATAAAGTGCGTAGTTGAGTTATTGCAAAGTAATACAATACATACAAAATTTTACAACCGTGGAATAGAGACTAAAATTCAGCAAGAAGTTGATGAGGATTAAATAAAGGGAAAGAGGATAAAAAATAAAATATCCCGTGTCTGTACGGAGAGGTTTTAAGGTAATCGCCAGCAGGATTCAAATGCGAATTAAATGTTTCAGGGGCGTTTTCGCAAGTAGCTTTTAAAATTTAACTGCCCCTTAAATAAATTTTTGGAGAACCAAATTTGTATTTAAAGGGCAGATACATTTTAAAAGCTACTTGAGAAAACGGCACTTAATTGCATACACTAGGGACCGAAAACAACAGTTATATTTTTTCAATGTTATACATATGTATAAGCCTGGGCCAAATATTTTTTAAGGCCGGAATAAAAGTCCTTTCCTAATTATAAACAAACCCCTTATCCGAATTTAACAAATTTGGTATCAAATGAAAGCGGAATGAAATAGACAAATAGAAAAATACAAGCAAAGGTTGCCACCTATTTATATAATTTTTTTTTATAATTTAATACAAAAGTAATTCGTATACCTGACCCAAGATTTGTTCTATGGTAATTAGAAAACATTTTTATATTTTTTAAATGGGTATGATCTTTGTTTAGATATTTCAGTTTGAAAGATTTCATTTGATACGAAATATGTTTAATTTGGCTAAGCGGTTTATTTATTATTAGGAAAGGACTTTTATTTCGGCCTTAAAAAATATTCGACCTAGTTTAACTGTTATTACTGGACTAAAAAAATAAAAGTCCGGGTTGACCGATTATTTTACTTCAAATAAAATAAAAGTCCAGAAATCTTTTTTTAACGACTTTTATTATTAACGTTTTAAAAGTCCGGGTCCCTGGCTTAAACTTATAGGTACATATGTATGCCGAAAATATTTACGAAGAAATTTTCAGTTATATAGATCAGAAAAAGTGAAGAATATCAAAAACTTGGATATCATTCTATTTGATTATCATGTAAACTAATCTCCCGGATCCGGTTATGACTTTGCACCCAACCTATACGGTATTGGAGGAAACGGGCGTCAAATATAAAATATATTTTTGGATAAAAATCAAAAGAGGTGATGTACCATATTTAGATACAGTAGATAATTCTACACATTAACATTATCGCTTAAACGTTAAATAAAGTTATCATTTTTTACTTCAGTGTTAATAAACTAGATTAGTTCGTTTGTGAAATCAAATTTAGGTATTTGTGAGTATATACTGAAAAAATTAACATTTAATTAACTAAGTAAGGTTAATTCACTACTAAGTTCTAGTTTGGGGACAAAGTACATTGCCTAAAATACTTAGGTTTATAGTAATACAGTAATCAGTCATGCGCATGCAAACTAAAATTTTCATACAAAAATATTAAAAATTATTTTAAAATTCTCAATAAACATACATCATATATACATACATACATATGTATGTACACTAAAAAAAAAAAACAAAAATGCAAATTGTGCGCATGCGCAACGCATGCCATGTTATTTACTTCTGTATATCATTAAAAATACTTACGGCAAATACTCTCGTCGCTGCCATCCTTGCACTGCCGTTTGCCATCGCAGACCTGCGTTTTTGGTATGCAACCGCCGCCGCGCAAACATTTCCACTACATGCATTCAATAACAGTTCATTATAAATAATGCATGCCAAATTTTTGTAAAAGTTTAAATTTTCACTTAATGGCGCTAATGTTTGCTCAATGCACGTGCGCGCGTTTCTTGTCAGCTTGAGCTACCGCTCTCACTCACACTCAATCTCACTGACTCACGCATGCGTTAAACTGCATGAGGTAGCGAGCAAGAGAGAGAGAGAGAGAGTATGAGGCGGAGCGCGCGCTCATCCAATCACATTCAACTTACCTTGTCGCTGCTGCAGGTGCACAAATTGTAGTCTTCGTCTTCGCGGCGCGTACAATCGGCAGTGCCGTCGCAAACGCTCTCGATCGGTATGCAATCGCCATTTTGGCACGTAAATTCGATATTTTCGAGGCAAGTGTTGTTGTAGCCTGTGAGTAGTGCGAGTAGTGATGGTGTGTTGAGTGGATTTCAAGAAATTTGATGAGTGAAACGGTATGTGCGGAGCGTAAAAATGAGAAAAAATGTACGATTGAATGATGTGTTTTGAAAAATAAAAAAATAAAAAAATGATTACAAAGAAAACTGAAGCAGCTCGAATTGCTGCTGAGCTTTAACTTCAACTAATGAACTCTAAGATTTTAAAGTCTTAATATCCCTGCGTTTTAAGTAAATTTTGTAAGTGTAGTGAGTATGTTTGCATGTGGTAGTGTAATTGCTGTGTTGCGTGTGTGTGCGCGTATTATTGCGTGGAGCGCGTGCGTTTTGAGTGCCACATTGACGCGACAAGCGGAGCAGCCTAAAACAGATTTGCTAAAGCGATCGCTTCATGTTTGAGAGTGCTACCGCGCACTCGCGCAACTCCTACAGGCGTACACTCAAAAAAATGCATGCAAAATTTAGTAAAATGCAGCATTTTCTAAAAAAAAAATCGCTATTTTACGCAATTTTGTGCACTGCAAGCTTTTGTGGAATTTTAAAATAGAGTTCTCTTCACCAAATTTCCGCCACCCATAAAATAGCACAAAAAACCTACTGGGCGCTACAGTGCTAACAACGTGCGTCGGCGTTGCGATCCACGGGCTGCGCGTTGTCGTCGTCCCCGCCGTTGTCGTGGGCGCTGCTGTCGTAGCAGCTGTGGTGCGCCACCAAGGCAACACCTGTGCAGCCTGCGTCGTGCGTACGAGGTTCGAAGGTGGCGCTGTGGTGCGCCGCTTACTGGCATTGTACTGATCGCAGCCATACTCGTCCGTCATGTCGTTGCAGTGGTAAAAGCCATCGCAGCGCAGATGTAACGGTATGCAAACGTTGTTGCCGCACTTGAATTGCTGATCATTGCAGGGATTCCGTGCGTTCGCCTTCTGGTACATATTCGAATGGAAGAGGTAGTACTCCTGCGCGTCCAGGCCCTCCAGCGTGGGACCCTCTGTGGTCGGTGGCTTTCGTTCGTGTGGCGCGTATTCGCGTATTATTTCATCCTCATCGAATATGTTGCGTTCAATGTCCTCTACCTCTACGCGTCACAATCGCATGCAACCCCGAAAAGGGCATACAAAGGTAAAGCGGGTTTCAAAGTAGGTGTAACGAGTAGTTTTTGTTTTGACATGCGGGAGCATTGTAAATCCACAACCGAAAGTGTGCCGAATAAATTCAGTTTTTACCAATTTTGAAGTGAAGAGTTTGCCAGTGTAGCAATTTTGGTAGCAGTTAGTAGTAGTAGAATTGGGTTTATATTTTGTGTTTTTTTTTTGCACCGTAACCGCAAAAATTTTGATTTTGTTTGTAACCAAAGAAAAAGAAAAATCATAAAAAAANTGCAATTTTGGTAGCAGTTAGTAGTAGTAGAATTGGGTTTATATTTTGTGTTTTTTTTTGCACCGTAACCGCAAAAATTTTGATTTTGTTTGTAACCAAAGAAAAAGAAAAATTATAAAAAAATTAGATTCAAATTGCTTTTTCAACAAAAAATACTAAATGTTTACTACTTTGCGGACAGCGACAGTGACGANAGAAAAAGAAAAATCATAAAAAAATTAGATTCAAATTGCTTTTTCAACAAAAAATACTAAATGTTTACTACTTTGCGGACAGCGACAGTGACGACTACGGTACTGGTATAGGTTCTTTGACAAAGGTACTTTTAATTGCACAACAATACATTTCCAAAGCGAGCAGCAGCAGCGGCTTAGCAAAGCGACACTTATTCTAATATTTGCTTTTATTTTTTTTCTACATTGCAGATACCGAAAATAGTACTTATATTATATTTAGTAGAAGTTACCAACACCTTTTAGATACAATGTTTTGGGTAAAAACAGTATGCAAAAAAAAAAAATCGTGATCTAGGTCTCGGCTTAGGGTTTTTCGATTTTCGTGTCCAAGGTCCCTACTTCTAATCAACTCAATTCAAAACTATATAGCCGAACAGTCATGGAGACACGTGCGAGGAAAAGTATTAACAAGCCTAGCACAAGAAAATTCGCTCAAGCCATCATCTTCATACTTTCGAAACTTATAAAAACGGACTAAAGAGTGTCCTTGATATCAGCTTTTAGAGCAATTCGCCTAGTATAAGATCTTTTCGTTTCAAAGTCAGAGGCAGGTTTCGAACACTCCAGGTAGTCAAAAAAAACCTAAGACGCCTTAGGACATGCCGATAAATCGGAATGCTCCCGAACTCAAAAGGTAGATAGAAATTAATTATAAAAGCAGAAGAGAGATGCTTCGACAGCCGAGCGGTTATTTGACGAGCTCTGAAGAGAACTTAAATTCGCTGGGCTCTTTTTGGGGCGAGAAAATTCCTCACTCGTAAAACTGATAGGGTTTCAAAGGCTGTTGTTTAGCAAGAAACGTGACAACTTTTGCTATTGTTGTAGCAGCACTATTCAGCCCCGCCCAGGTCGGTTTGTCCATCAATTGTTGTCGTCAAGCTCAACTAAGAGTAGGCCGAAGAAACGAGCTGTTTCGACAGGGCCGGACCAAAGTTAGAGGGGAGTTAGCTGGGTGGGATTGAGCTGACATGTGAAGAGGTGGTTGATGTCGTGGGGGGCGTCTCCACATGCCGAACAGTCATTCGGGATATTGGGATCGAATCTGGATAAGTAGTTGTTGAGACGGCTCCAATAACCTGACCAAAATTGGGCCGAGTAGCGCAAGTTTCCTGTCGTAGTCAAAGCTCAGTGCCATTGGTCGAAAGTGGTGGGAGGTGGTGACCGACTCTCTATCAACGCTGTCGATCAATCGCCGGTACGTCGTCGGGTCCAGTAATTGGTCGATGTAAGTGTGGACCGCGTACATGTACTCGAAAAGATGCTTTCGAACGAACCTCGGCGGAGGCTATATTCGTCTTGTTGCATAGTATCGATTTTGACCTTAGAGATGGGATTTTAGAATATAAACTAACTACTTCGATAGACGAAAGCCCATTTATTTTAGAACATTCAACCAAGAATAAATAAGCGTATACATACATAGATAGATATAGCATTAGGAAGAAGCACTTTTTCATTTGAAAAAAAATTAGACAAAATAAAATATCTTTATTTTACACTTTCGACCATCACCAAAAAATTTGAATAAAATAAATAAAATAAAAATACCATCACCAAGCTTCCCAAATTCTTGTGGAACCAAACTGGCAAAAATAGCACTTACCACAGTCCTTTTCATCTGAATAATCAACACAATCATAGATATTATCGCATAACTCACGCATCGGTATGCACTGACCATTGTCGCATTGGAATTCATTGTAACTGCAGCCAGACTCACCACCTTATAGCGAAATGCGAGCCCAGCAGAAGTTTGCGAAGAATAGGCGCAGGATTGTATTTCGGGTTTACATTGATAACAATTGGACGTAGTTTATTGGCAAATGGTTGATGGATGGATTGGTAGGAAAAATAATTGAAAGGGATAATTAGTAAAAGAAAAAAATGAAAATGCACGAAAAGGAAGATGATGAAGGAGTGATGATGATGGACGAGAGAAGTGAAAGGTAAAGGAAGTAATCAACGATACTGCGTAAAATGTGAGGAGCAACAGACTACAATGGCCGAGAAAGACGACTAGGAAATGAGCGGGTTCACAGAAATAAAATTGTGAGAGGAGTCAGCAGACATTTCAGAGGGTAATGTTTGTGGAAAGGGATACAAATTTGAACATCAAAACTGGCCGAAAGCGATGGGCCCCACGAAAAGCTCGTTTGTACTTCAAGTATGACCGCCGCTCTGCTGGCCACAGCATTGTCTGAAATTTCTAGCTCTCTAAGTCGAATTCTTTTATCACTTCGATCTTCGTCGATTGCGACCGAAAAAAACTTCTTTGGGTTGTTGGCCCAAGCCAAGCCTGGCTGGGCTTTCTGAATTGCAACGAGTAGTGCTTAGGTTTGAGATTATGTATACATATCTCGGATTACGTGTTTAAGAAAAAACTTGAGCTGAGATTTTAATTAAAAATTCTTGACATTTTCTGCCCTGAAATCATTATATTTCACTCAAAATCGCGTCTGATCTTTTGGCAGCATTTATTTAAATAGCAAGTAAACAGGTGTCTAATTCTGTATTTATTATTTTATTTATAAACCAAATGGGCGAAACGGAAACAGGCGCGACTTGTCAGGCATACGAAAGCGCGCGCAAAATTCCTGGAAATGTTTGAAGTGACACAAAAACGTCAAAGGCGCGTCTCAGCTGTCAGTTGGGCGACTGCACGCGAGTGGAATATTTATTTTTTTTTAAAGCAGATACATAAAATCCAAATGAAATAAAATATAGAGCAAAATTTGTTGTTGGACAGCTGATTAATTAACATACATAGAAGACGATAGCAAAGCTGATTGAATAACTGCAAGTACATACTTACATACATATTTTGCAAAGCAGGGGGAAAAATGCAAATCTCAGCAAAATGAAAGTTCTGCAAGTGAAACATGAAGCGCGCGAACCAAAGTAGGTACAAGAGGGTGGAAGTGAGAGGGACGGGCGAAAAAAATTAAAATGTCATTCAAATAGGTAGACAAACGAAGAGAATAAAAACTCATGAATGTATGAATGGAGATAAAGAGGAGGCACAGATATTAAGAAGGCAGGCGCCAAGTAGAACAGCAAAGGGCTCGAAAAAAAAGACGAGTATGTACTATGCTAAAATATGCATTTTCAAGAGCGGCATAAAAATCGCGGCCTTCATTTTTGCATGTTCATATGTGTTGTATTTAAGCTTGTATGTACATACATATGTATGTGTGTGTTTGCTAACTGAGTTTTGCAATGTTAATTTTCAAATCAACGCCACAAGCAGCAATGAAAATGTCACAAAACGCATGCAACAACTGTTGCTGCTGGTCGCGAATTCCAACTCATTCACTCTTACATAAATGTACAGTTGTGCACGAAATAATAGGAGTGCCATGTCTTGACCAGTTTTGGGCAATTTTTCTTTTGTTTATTTGATGTTTATTATTTTTTTATAAAAGTCTAGCTGGTTATATAACAAACACCATATAAATCAAATTATGTACAAAAATCATAAAAAATTGGAAAATTTTCAGCAAAAATTGGTATGCAGTTTTATAGCTCATCAAATTTCAGTGATGGTAAAGTGCAGGTTTCAAGGTGGTAAAAATCCCGTTGATTTTTGAATTTCTTTTGGTTGAAGGTGCGTCGCATCTTTTCCATACAAAGTATGTTGGACAATTTTATTTCATATGTCAGCAAAAAAAAAAAATATCAAAAATCAAGGGGGACTTTTAATCAGCTTGAAACCTGCACTTCACTCTACTACAATTTTACAAAACTGCATTTAAACTGCATAAAGATTCTGTTTAAAAAGTTTGAAATTTTGATAAAACTTTGCAGAATTTTTATTCAAATGTTTGTACAAAGTTTGAAATTTCAATTTATAAGGTGTTTGTTGTATAACCAGCTAGACTTGTATGGTAAGATATAAGAAACAAAAGAAAAATTGTGAAAACTGGTCAAAACATCGCACTCCTATTATTTTGTGGACAACTGTACATACATACATATACATATCCAAGTGAGTGTAAGTGAACTGAGCATGTGTTGGCCGGCGGCGCGCATTTTTTAAAGCGACTGAGCAAAGAAAAAATAAACAAAAAATATTTTGCCGCGCGCCGCCGCAAGCTGACAGTCAAATTGCCAGCAATGACAATGACGAGAAAAATGGCGAGACATCAACCGACGAGCAAGAGAGAACAAAAGCAAGTCGCCACGATGCCGTGTTGCGTGTAGGCGAAAGGGGCAAAGGAGTGGGCGGGAAGTTTTGGGTTGCACAAGTTCTACAATTAAATTCATTTGCAACTCTGGTAAGGCCGTTTGTTTCCTCAGCCTACTTTTATAATAATAATAATAGATTGGCGCTTACACATATGTTAGTGTTTGGCCGAGCTTCTCCTCCGATTTGTGGCGTGCGCCTTGATGTTGTCACACAAAGAGGAGGGACCTACAGTTTAACGCCGACTCCGAACGGCGATTGTATTTTTATGAGAAGCTGTTTTTCATGGCAGAAATACACTCGGGGGTTTGCCATTGCCTGCCGAGGGACGACCGCTGTTAAGAAAAAACCTTTTTTCTATTATTTTTACCTTTCATAAATTGTGTAACTTTAAATTCTTGTATACCTTAAATTAAAAAAAAAATGGTAAGTACCCAAAAAAATAGTTCTAGAAAATCGCGCAGAGCTTAAAATTCCTAAAGCCACCTCAAAACTTTCTGTAAAATCCAAATGCTTTCAATAGCAATTCATTTTGCTCACCATTACAATTTCGCTCGTCCGAAACATCGTTGGGGCAATCAATGTTGCCATTGCAGCGCACATCTTTGGGAAGGCAAGTGCCATCGTCGCACATCCAACGGTCGTAGAGGCAAGCTGGGCAACAATTCCAATACAAAAATCGACAAAAAATTTGATAAACATGCAGAAAATAGACAATATTAATACAAGCGAGAGGAAGAGGGAGCAACTGATTTTCTAAAACTCCGAACTCAAAAATTAAGTGAAACTGAAACAATGGAACCCAAAGCAATTCGTTGGCAACCTACGACAGCCTTCCTCATCGGCGCGATCGTTTGGGCAGTCTGTTGTTCCATCACAGCGATGCACGATCGATATGCAGGAAAGATCGTGGCAGGTGAATTTGCCTTTTGGGCAAAAGTAACGCAGCTGCGGTACAACTGAGCGCAAGCATAAATCCAAAGGTAGCATTAGTTTTCGGTAATAAATCCATAAAAAAAACAAAAAAACAAGAGCCGAAAACAAAACAAATACCGAGTAAGAAGAGAGCAGAATAAAGTGTTTGCGAGAGAAAAGATAAAAAGAGCAGAAGTTATACGTTTTAATGAATATTTCGTATGAATACTTTTCGTGTGTTAACGTAATGAAAAATGAGCGAAATGAGCTCGCGCTGAGGCTGAGCGTGTTTGGCGAGTGATCGCAGCGTAAAGATCGCTCACGAACGTCAAACACCATGCCTCCGCACGCGCTCTCTTACTTACTGCCTTCACACTGATCCTCATCGTCGCCGCCTACACAATCGGTGATACGATCGCACACCTTCGTGCTGCTGATGCACTGTTCAGAATTCTTGCAGAGGTACTCGTCGTCGCGACAACCGATAACTGGATGCATAGCGCGCGTAAATTTATTTTATAATTCATGCGAGCAAGTTTTAGTTTGTTTTTGGATTTTTTTTATCAATGTAGAGTTAGATAATGCCGTTATCACAAATTACATATTTACAGCGTGCAAAATGAGCGTAGTTAGTAGCCAAATTGTTGTTATTTTTTTTGATTTTTTGTTTGTTTTTTGTTCGGGTTTAAACATCACGCAGTTAGTTGTTGTTATTGTTGTAGCAAATTTACAGGCATTTAGGATAAATTCAAGTAAAATAGAAGAAAAAATGGTTAAGTGGTTAGTGTTAGTTTTTTTTTTTTTGTTAAACTAATGCTAAGTCTACTTTTTTATAAAAAAAATTCTTAGCAACTAAGGCAAGCGGGCATTACTACAATATATATGTAGCTTGTTCTATATGAAATTGTTTGGCAAAAAAGCAGCACAAAGCTTTGTTAAGTTTAACCATATTTAAGTACGGCTTGTTGTTGTTTTGGGGTAGTTACTCATTTGTGAGTGACAAAATTTACTTAAAAAATCTAGCGTACTTTTTTCTAAGAGCTAATTGTGGTAAGCACAAAAGCTGCAAAACTTTTTTTTTCGAAAGCTCAAATATCTACAGAGCTTTCTTGTTGTTTGTACTTCCTAAAGGCACACGGACTAAATTGACTAAGAGTAGATTTGTAATTATGTAGGTATTTTTTCTCAGTGTACTTACGGCAGCTAGCGTCTTCATCATCGCCATCGGGACAGTCACGCACGTGATCACAGCGACGCGCATTGTCAATGCAGTTGCCGGCACGACATCTGTACTCATTTGGTAAGCATTCTGTGGGAGAGAGAAAAAAAGAGAGAGAGAGATAGTTAAAAGGTTGCAATTGGTAAAATATGTGGGTAAAAGAAGAAATATTTTAGAATAGTAATGTCCATTATATTTTTCTGTAGAAGAAATGAGGAGAGAGCTTTTACCATGCTCACATCAACAACAACAAAATTTAGGGAAAGCCTAAAAAAAGCTCAGACCGCGGGCGCTGTTTTGAGCATCAATGAAATAAGAGAAGATTTTTAGAGTTTTATTTTGATTTTATTCAGGCGCGCGTAGAGTAGAATCTCTCTCTGCTTTAGGCAATCTTGAGGCTTTAAGATTTTTCATAAGAAAAAAGATTTTAAAGATACTTGGCAAACCTTTAAAATTTTGATAAAAAATTTTAGCTCCATAAAATGGAAAGATAGGCTTCAGGCATTATATGAATAGAGTTACCATTTCAACTTAAAAAAAAAAACAACGTTAAATAAATGTTTTGATGAAAAATATTTGGTAGTGAGTTCTAAACGGGAGGAACATTTTGAAAATTTTGTTCGGCACACATTTTTCAAAAGGATTGCCAACTATCAAAAAATTTAAATTATTTAAAATATAAAATGCAGATACAAAACATTATTTTTATGAATAGGGTTGACAATAAAAAATATATTAAAATATATAATTAAATTAAAAATGTTTGAAAGTGAGATTGGAACGAAAGAAATTTGATTGCTTCAATTCCAATAGAGGTTGGCAAGTATTTAAATATGGAACAAAATTTATTTTAGAAAAAAACCTACACACACAGGGTTGCCATGTTAAAAAAGTATACTTTTTAAACTTGTACGTTGATATTGAAACCTTTGTTAAAAAACTATGAATTTATTGAACGAAAAAATTAAAATTAAAGTCACAAAACTTTCTTTGAAAAAACTTTAACTTTTGTATTTATTTACCGAAAAAATCCATATTTGACTCATGGAATTTTCTTGCAAAAAACTTTAACTTTTGTACATCTTTATTCCCATTCATGTAGGTGCCTTTTAAAGTGATTCACTCGATTTGCTGTGGCGTTTTAGCTCATCGCTTTTATTTTGTTTATGTAGTGTTTTCACCCATCTCATTTTCACAATCCGTTCAAAATTAACTTTTATACTCTACTTTGAAATAGAATCGCCGGCATTTATGTATGCACATCCTCCCTTAACCCTCAACTAATTGCTGTCCAACAATGGCTTGCACACGCACTCCGACACACACACACGCACACATCCATAACTCTTCATACGAAACATAACAAAAAGAAATTGTAATAGAAAACCGAATCAGAAGTGTGTCCATGCATAGTTCTAGGAGCATAGGCTGGGTGAGGAAAAAAGGGCCAAAGCAAGTGTGCTGGGCTTAAATAAAATCATTTATAACTATGCGAGTGCAAAGTATTGACTGCCGCTTCTGTTTTTTAAAGATGTCTACGCAGATAACCCAAATATTTTTTAAAAAATAAAAGTAGCTAATGAGTGTAAGCACCAAGGAAGTTACACAGCAGCGCTCAGCAGGTGTTGACATACTACAATATCAGGATATTTATAGCTAGAGAAGCTTGTGTGATTTTGTGTATGCCTGTCTGTATGAAGAGGAGTATGCAAAAGTAGTAGTATTAGTGTCAGCTCCACAAGTGGGTATTAAATTGCAGACAGGCTTAGCTATGCTGGTGCGGGAGCATGTGAAGCGGGTTAATTGTGCACTCAAAGTTTTTGCAAGCCAAGTAGGCAAAACAATGCCAAAAGCAAACAAAAAAAGCAGAGCAGGAAAGAAACCGGCTGCTACAATGAAAAGTGGCAAGCTTTAAATTTCGGAAATTTCTTCTTGACCTGCTACAAGTAAGTTTAGGTATTTATTGAAATGTTGCAAAGCTCAACTAACTCCTTCGGTTGAGTAAAGAATATGGCTGAAATTACAAGCGAATTCCTTTCCTTAAAACAAAAAAATATGAAAAATTTTAAGTCAGACTCATGCCTTTTCATTCTTTTCTTTACTTTTCACCTTATGCTTGGTGCAGCCGCTGGGTTTCGTACGCATTTGAATGGGATTAGCGGTGATTCGTATTGACAGCCGGATAATACAAAGCAAACGAAAAAAGGAGAGCAAACACGAAAATACGGACATTCATAAGCGTATGTGCTTTTGAAAATTCCCTCAGTTACCTGTTACTTCCCTCTTTGCTTGTTGCATACTTTTGGCTGTTGGCACTGCGGCTTTAAATGCGATAATTTTTTGTAGAAAAAAGCAAGTTTGGCAAATATTTGCGCATAATTGTAAGCAAATTTATTCAAAAGCTTAAAGAAATTGTGTAAATAAAATTTAAACATAAACAAATGTATGCCATTTATACATACACACAAATGTACATATAAGCCACAATTGACACCAAAAGGTATGCAATAATAATTTTGTAGCCTAAGTTTGCCACGTGCTGATAACTGTCGAACATGCGAAAACGGTCTTAATTTTATTCGCCATATTTGTGCTTTGCTTTGCTCCACTTTTGCATTTGCGGGTTTTGCGGAACTCTTTGCAATGATTTTATTTTGTTTTGAAATAAATCCTGGCAAAATGACGACTGCAATGCGCGCAAAAATAGGCATGTCGTCGCGGTAGCGCCTGCAAATATGCCGCTCCGGAATTGTGAAAGAAAGTTGTTTTTTGCGATTTCTTTCCTGAAAATGAAAAACTTAAAATGCAAATGCAATGCGACGACTTCTTGGAACAAAGTGCAGAAAAATTGAAGATAAAGTATTGAAAAGAAACTTTGATTGAGACACGACAGAGCTTCCATACAGTTTATGAGTTTTTGTTTTGCGGAAGTAATGAGTAATGAGTGAAGCCGCAGGAAGTCGGAGAAAGTTTGGATGAAAAAAAAACAAGAATGTTCAGATATGGTTATAAATTAATATTTGACTTTTTTGTTATTAAAAAAAAAATAAATCTCAAATACACATACTTACATATGTACACATACATATACATATGCCTATTTAAAATTGAAAAAAAAAAAATATTGATATTTAAGAGTAAAAACCGATATACATTTTTGGTCAATAAAAATCTGGGCATAAAGTTTTTGTTATTAGAAACCGGAAATCATTTTTTTCATAAAGACATACATTTTTGGTTATTAGCAACAGGAAATAAATTTTTGGCCATTTAAAAATTTTACATACAATTTTGGCCATTTAAAAATTTTATACAAATTTCTGTTTTTTTTTTGAAATTGGGCGTAAATTTTAGCTCGTTTAAAAAATTATCATGCATTTTTGGTTATTTGAAAACTGGACATAAATTTTTGGTCGACTAAAAATGGACATAAATTTATGGGCATTGAAAAATCGCAAATACGCCCATTTTTAAATTACTGAAAATATTATGTCCACTTTTAAAATAACAACACAAACTACAAATTAAACTGAAATTATATCTCGACGTTTAAAATTGCCAAAAAATTTTGTTCACGTTTTGATTACTTTTTGGTGAGCGATGAAACTCAGACAGATCTTAGAGGAAGGTTTTTTTATCTCATAAATCGACGTTATGAAATTATAAACATTACAGACATAACCCTCGGGTAAACGAAAAAAGTGGACTATGAAGACGGTGATGGAAGTAAAAATAGTCACAGCAAGTGTAAGAAGGGTAATCCAGCGTCATTTAGATGGCGCAACCTAATCACTAGAGTCTGATAAGGTACCAATGACATATCATTTATATACATATTTTCCTTATATAACCATAAAAATTGCATAATTATATAATTAAATTCAAATAAGAATTACTTTCACAAATAAAAATTCACAAATGCATCTATCGGCATAACAAATCATTCACAAACATTTACATTCCCGCACAGGTGGCAAGTGCAACAGTTGTTCGCAGTCTGTCTGCATATTTTTTTTTTCTCTTTTATCGTTTAACGAATTACAACGAAATTGAGGATGAAAAGTCGGATTATCCTGTGTCAGCGGAAAATTGAGCGGATACGAGCCCAAAACTCGACGATGAATGCTTGGCACGCGCGCCACGCTGGGGTTGCATGCGCGGCAATGAGCGGTCGCGCCGAAGCCAGAGTCAAAGGAGGGGTTGCTGATGCTGCCGATTATTGGCAAACGATGGACGAGCGCGGTTATCAACAGGGGTTTATCGTAGCAACGCTGAACAGGCGTGCAGAAAAGCAAGCAAATATACAAAGGGAAAACCAAAATAAAAACAAACACCGGCACAGAAATAAGGCTGAGGTGCAAGATACGTACGCGCCGAAGTAGGCCGAATTTTTTCGGCTGCTAAATGAACAGCGATGCTGAGAGGAATGCACGCAAACACATATATATACATGTACATATGTACATACATACGAACACCGCAAAGGTGAGCGCCTCCAAAAGGCAGTCGGTAAAAAAAATTTACGCACAATGCAATTGCCAAGCGCTCCAGAACGTTTTTGTTGTAACTCAAATTGGAATGCTGCTGGCTTCGTCGGTGAGTGTGTGTTTGAATACAATGTGCTTGCGCCTATCGATTTGCACTTGCAATTGCAATTGTTTGCAATTACGCTGGGAATTTCCGCACGCTGCCACATGTTGCGCACACATACACGTTGTGTGGCACCCGGCAGGGCATTGCAACATCAAAGGCAACTTCAATTGCGCTTTCCCAGCTGTATGCGGCGCACAGCAATGATGAAGCAGAGATGCAACAAAAGTGCGAGGTGAAAGTTGAAAGATTAAAGGTGGTTGAAAATTAGGAAGAATGCGTGTGGCAAAGTGGAATGTGACAGACAGACTTCAGTTCAGTTTTCATACGAAATGCGACAAGAATGTAAAGCTGGAGCTTACGAGTGCGACGGTGGCACTTTCCACTCAGTTGTTTTGTTGTGTTCTTGCTTTAGTTGCCGGAAAATGTCACTCTTATGCGCAATGCAACATTTAACAATAACACCCCCTGCATGATTTTACGCCCATTTCCCGTACTCG